TGTAGGAATAATTAAAACCAAATGAGATGCCCACTTGTTTCATGCTTCTTTCCTTTCATTTGTTCCAAATTAATCCATTCTCCATATCTATCTAATATTAATATCAGGGTTAAGATCTACTTACACTGTATAAAATTCTTTTAGTTTAAACAATTTTAGGACAATTGGATTGAGGGAAATCAAAGGTTGAGATTAACTCATTTATTTTTTTAAGTGAATATCTCTCATTTTTTACGGTTAATCTCAGCTTTAATTTCTCTCATCCAAAAGTTTAATTGTAACACCCTAACCCGTACCCGACTCGGATACGAGTCCGAGATGTCAAATTGACTTTTTAAACAATATTCTTACAAAATAACAGAACATTTGGACTTGAATTGAATTTATTCAAAGTTTTTAAAGTTTTACAAAAATAATTCAAAGTCCATTTAATTGGAATTGAGTACAAAAATATTTTATGAATAGTACTGCACTATGAATAGTACCGTATGAATAGTATCGATACTGTGTGACAATAATGAACAGTACCGATGCTTAAAAACTTCGAATGTAAATGTGTATCGGTACAACTACAGTGTACCATACACTGCTACAAATTTCAACCCAACATATATAAAACTCAATAAAAATATAATAATGATGCATCTCTTATAAATATAAACAAGCAGTTAATTCAATCATATCACATGTACTCTAGTGTAAGAAGAATAACATGATCACATATAATATACCAAACTTTTGATACTTATAAGGCCATGTATATTAATGAGAACTTAAGGTATGTGAGTACATTGAAGTTGTGCACAATTATGCTGTCACCACAGCTCAATCAATGTCCCGAAGGACCAGTCCATAGGTCCCAAAGAACCTAGGTAATCAATCCATATGTCCCGAAGACATAGGTAATCAATCCATATGTTTCGAAGAACATAGGTAACCCTCGACTCTTGGCATGCCAACTATACCCCTACTCTCATATCACATAACATGGGTACCATCATTATGCTTCATATATTCATGTCATTGTTCTTATGATCACATATTTCTTCTATTCTGTCACATATCACATGCATATAATTATCAACCTCATCTCATATAACATATTATTTAAATATGTTCACATGAATTATATGTCATCTAATATATCATATAAACATATATAACTTATGTATTTATAATATCATCATGTATGCATGTTCATAATCATGGAACTATGAAAACCAATATAGGAAATAGACTTATCACAAGTCTTATTACATTGCATTATATCTATAGTATACACTCACCTTAGCCTCACTTGATTTGAAATGATTCTAATTCTTCGATTGTTCCGGAACTTGTTTAAGCTCAATATCTATGAAAATTTTTGAGATGATTATTAGAATCCTAAACCTTATAACTTGATGTTAATAACTTAAGCTAGTTTAATGAACCAATATTCCATTTTCCTTTAGGGTATCGGTACACTATGGGTGTATCGGTACCCAAATTAACTTCGAAATTCACATTTCAATGGGGTATCGATATACTGCCCGTGTATCGATACACTTATTGCATTCGATGTTTTTCATTTAATAGTATCGATACCTGTTGAAGGTGTACCGATACACTTTGCCCATAAATCATATTTTAGACACAAAAATTCATTCTTTCATCTTCTACACTTCATGTTTCCTCTAATTTCATATTCTTAACTCACATACACATGCTTAAACCCATTTATACTCATTTATTACATCTTAAACCTCAAAATCCTATTCTCCATATAGAAATCAATAATCATACTAATTTTTCAATATGCTAAATCCAATTTTATCACTTCATATCTCTTAATTAAGTTGATGACAAGTCAACTTAGTTTTCAAATTCAACTTATCAACTCTTTTCCAGAAATTCATTTAAAAACCCCTTATATTAATATTCATAACTTCTTCATCTTTTGATAAGACAACTTAAGCTTTCCTTAAGCTTAAGTATCACTTAAGGATCAAAACCCATACTAAAAATCAACAAATAATCACTAATCAGAAAACTCCATTTGCTCCCTTGGGTTCACGGTGGAGAAAAAGAAGAATAAAGAGATTTCTAGAGAAATCTCTCAACCTTATCCCCGTATATATCCTTATCTTATCCATTTCTAAGTCAAATAACTATTTTGCCCTTAATTCCGTTAATAATTACTAACAACCCTTCATAACTTATTTCCAATAAGTCATTAACTATTCAACTATTCTACTTTAATCACCTAATTATGAAGTTTACAATTTAGTCACTAACCGTAATTTGGGATGTTTAATACACTTTTAGTGCATAAACTATAACTTACGATTTGCCTAAAGATTTTTTACTAACAATAGGTGCCTAACGTTTTCTTTGTTACACTTTTAGGGGCCTGCAGTTTTATTCGTTACACTTTTAGGTATTTACAATTATATATTTTTTTAAATTTTTAAATAAAAAATTTTTTAAAAGGAAAAATTAAAAAAATAAAACACCCACCCCGCGTCGTCCCTTTCCCTCATCCCCTACTGCCGCGACGAAGGGACACCACCAACAGGTTTGATCAGAGAAGAACAAGGAACTCAACAGTGGTGACAGTGTAACGCACAGACGGTTGTAGCCGTCGAAATTGTCGAAAAACAACAACGAAAAACCTAAAAATCTGACGATAATTCATGATGTTTTACAGATGATCAACATGGTTTAACGGTGGTGGGGGACTGAGTTTTGGTTGCGATGGCGAGACGGTTCTAATGGTGTCATCGGTAACGACCACAGATCGACGGTGGTCGATTGCGACGGAATATATAAATTCGAAGATTTTTAAATAATAATATTAAGTTTTTTTAAAATAAAATATTTTTTAAACTTTATATGCATGACACGTGTCAGATAACAACTAAATTTAATATATATTACGGTCCACACACCTAAAAGTATAATACTAGAAACGTTAGGCACCTATTGTTAATAAATAATTCTTTAGATACCAAATCATATTTTAAGATATAATTTAGACACTGAAAATATGAACTAAACCTTTAAATTAATATATTTCAAATAATATAAGATGATAATAAAGTAATATTTATTAAAAAAGTTTACTCAGTTAATAATATATACAATAAACATAACAATTTAAACGGCTTCCTTGCCCATATAAGGTTACGGGAAAAATTATTTTTTCATATAAAACATTCACCATATTATTTCCTGAATTAGGATGTCTTATTGGTCTAAAGACGTCGTGCACTCTCGTGTCTTCTTCATTTGCCTGAAGCACCGTGTAGTCATGGAGTCTTCTTGGTTTGCCTGAAGACTCCATATAGTCGTGGAGTCTTATGTTTAGCTTTAAGACGCCAGGTGCTCCATACGTCTTTGAGTTGAAACTGTAGATTTCACCTTAATTAAGAAAATAATCGTCAAGATAAACTATATTGAGAATTAAAAAATCTCAATTACATTATTTCAACCATTTATCCAATTTAAACTCGAATTCTATGATTAATCAAACAGAGGTGAATATTGGACGGCTCTTCATGAAACGTGGCAGGAGTTGATTCCCTGAAGGTATCAACCGTAAGAAGAGCGCAGCGTGGCCAGGTAGCAGTAGGGTTTGGGTGGACAAAAGGCGAAAAGGAAGCAACATTCTTTGGAGGCAACCATCATCACTTTGCTGGTCCACGACTTCACCATAGGATAGGATCTTTCTTCCAAACACGTGGAGAATTTATATATATATATATATATATATATATATATATATATTCACTTCTCATTATTCACTTGTTTCCTACTTTTTTTACTTCAACTCATATGAGTGGAGATATCTAAAAAAAGCAGTTTAATATAAAGTAAGAAAAACGTAATTAAAAATATTAATTTTATTTTAATATTTTTAGTGGAACGTTATTTAAAAATATTAATTTTTTTAACATTTTCGATTGTAATAAAAATACTCCATAATATTTTCGATACAACTAAAAACATTAAATCATAACATATTAAATAATAATTAATATTTTAAGTAATATTCTACTAAAAATATTAAAAAATTATTAATATTTTTAATTACACCTTTTATTATCCTTATATTAAATTATCATACAACATAACTACCCATACCAGCATGCAGGAGAGAGAGATGAAGTAGACATGCCCCACTTTCCCATTAAAAACATCAATCAATCAAATGCTTACAAATAAGTATTAAAAAAAGAATTACATAAATTTAAAGTTGCAGAAATTATGGTGCTTTCCCTTCACTAGTTTCTTTGCCTGCTTTCTTGTGATTGTGCAGTCCAGTTACATTCATGGGTGAGTAAAGCAACCCCTTCCAAAAACATCCATCTTTGCTACATCAGTTTTTTCCTTTTCTGGTTTTCAGGGTCTTTTCTTTTCTTCTTTATTTTTATCTGGTGATTTGGTTCTATGGGAACGATGGGTTTTTGTTTTTAGTTGTTGCTGAGATTGTTTAACTAATTGACGATTCTTTTTGTGTTTTAAAGTAATGGGAAATGTTGGTGGTAGAGAAGATGGTGAAGGAACTTCAGGAACAAAGAAGAAAGGATATGAAGTGGGTAATGAACAATTTAATACAGACCCAATGCTTCATTCCCCTCGTAGTCCTAATAATGACGTTATCAGCTTCCTTCCTATTTCCCTCCACAGGTTAGTTATTGGTGAGATTGAAGGGTGAAATAACATGGGGAGAAACTTGATTTTAATGGCTTTTTACATGCATGATATATTTTGTTCTAGTAAAGTCTTGTGGTTATAGTTTACTATAACATGTTGCAATTAATTCCCTCTGGTGTTCGTTGTATAGTCAGAAAATATTCACCCTTTGCTTATCATTTCCTCACAGTGTTCCATTTTGCAAATTATTTTATCCCTTCATGTGTATTTAGATGCTCTGCATCATGGTTTTTGCTGTTGTTGATATGCATGTGATTTTGGATTAGATTGATCTCTATAGGGAATAAAAAGCATCTGTTTAGTGATTTAGTGCCATTTCATAGGTATGCCTAGAATTTGACATGTGAAGTGCTTGCTCATGTGGGTTTGGAGGTTTTATTCTTGATATGGAATCTATATATGCAACATGTATTAACTTAAAGAAATCCAATACCATAGTATTTGAAATTGTATCTTTAGATCCCTATGTTTCCCTGGCTAAGATCTGCTGAAATGATCCAACACCAAAGTGATGTGCCATTGCAAAACACTAACTTGCCATGGGAGTACAACGGTTCAGGCAGACCTTTGAACTTACTGGTATTCTGAAGCTCTTTTATGAACTTCACACATTAGATTTACATTTCAGATCAGTGCATGCAAAGTATCTCCTTTGCTGAATATTTTATGCTTGAAGTTTCACCAAATAGTGCGTGAACCTGCAATGTTATATGGAAATAGATGATTCAGACAATGCTAGTATGAGACTTATTCAAGCACATTTTGTCTTGTTTTCCTTCTTCCCCCCTTCAATTTGGGTGCCTGCCTGCCTTTTTTGTCATTACCAAAAAAAGAAGAAGGTAAATTTATTACCTACAGACCTTTTACCTCCCACTTAAGTATAACTCATGGAACATCAGGTGTGTTGAAGGAAGTGCTTGGATTCTCTGAGCTAGTGGAACCTGACTAAGAATGAGATTCTTGAATTGATACTTTGTCCCCACAGAAAAGAACAAAGAAGCCTTTCAATTTTGCTCCAAAAATATCCTTGAAAAATGGTACTGCTTTTGCAAATAGACTAAAACCAAGCCATATGCATCCTCTTACTCTTATTTGTTAAACACTTGATCCAAATAAAAGGATGTTCGTAAATTGGTTTGTTGCCAGCCTACAATCCATTCATTATAGTACAAGGTAAAGTAATTCAGCATTGTTACTATTTCTCTTTGCTATTTTTGTAAGAGTCTCATGCTTACAGACTATTTATGGTCTTTATGAATTATTTTGATCTTTGAAGATTTCGAGTAGTAAATTTAGTGTAGTAAATGTTGATTGTGCATGTTTTATTCTCAAAATAATGTTCTGATGGAGATAGTTTTTTTTGCATATTATGCTAAAAGGAAATGAAATAGCTACACGCTTGCTTATGAAGGCATTCTATCCTCTACAACATTGTAATGGAAAATCCAATCTTGTTGCATTTCTTTCTCCAGAACTCTGGGGCTCCCTTTCCAAGGTTTGGTCAAATGAGCCAAATCCGAAATGATCCACCGGTACAAAAGTCGATGCAGTGCAAGTATTTCGACCAAGAGGAGAAGAGAGCAGTGATGATAACATGGTGTTTCGGGGGCAAGAAAGTGGCTATTACCGGATCATGGAGCGATTGGAAGACCATGTACTGGAATCTATTATGGAATCTATGTTTGAAGTTTCATTCTTCGACTTTAGCAGTTTTCTTTTCAGTCTAAATTGCACAGCCTTTGTTTCTTCTCCTTTCAGAGAACCTTTGCACCCTTTGGGTAAAGATTTCATTATCATGAAGATGCTCCCGTGTGGTGTTTACCGCTACCACTTCATTGTCGATGAGCTAAGGAGATATGCTCCGAACTTACCCTGCGAATTTGACGAGTCCGGGAATGCTTTTAACATTTTGATTTGCAGGTACTCTCAAGCTTCTTTTTACACTTAAATTGCAAATCCGAATAAAGCTATTCACATGTTCAAGTAGCGACCGTCTAATGATGTGTTTGTGACAGGAGTTTTTCCAGAAACTCCCGAAAGCCTCTCAGAGTTCAAACCCCCTCCTTCCCCGATATCGAGCTACGACAATCAACCACTAAACAATAGTGATTTCAGCAAGCCTCCACCTGAATTGCCTCCGCAGTTACCGACGAAGATCTTCGACGAACGATCGTTTGTTAGTCGGAAGCCAAAGTCCTCGCGAAGGCCTTCTCATACATTGCTGAACCATCTTTACAAGCAAGATGGCGATGATGGTCAGTCTATGGCACTTTGCTCAACACAGCGATTTCTTCAAAAATATGTAACTGTAGTACTATACAAGTCCGTGCATAGGTAAATTAAACAGAACTTGGAAGTTACTGCAACTCTTTAGCTTGATAAATTTACAACATAAGTACTCGGAAGAAGAGTGTGCTAACGTTAACAAGTTCTTATATTAGAAAGCGGAGAAGGCTGAATTAAAGATGCATATCGAGTGAATTGACACTGGAAATATCCTCTCCCCAATCAGAGTCCCATGACTCAGTCGTGTCAGCCAATCAATTATTCTATTACATTATTGGCGTAAGCGTTCAATGTGTACTTCTCACTCAAGGCTAGGGGTGTACAAAAAATCTGAATATCCGATTTTACGAAAAAAATATCCGAAACCGGATTTGGGAAAAACCGGTTTTTTTTAACCGGATCAGATTTTTTTTAAACCGGTTATTTTAACCGGTTTGGAGAAAAAAACCTAGACCGGTTTTTTTACCGGATAAAAAACCGGTTTGAAAAAAACCGGTTAAAAAACCAGTTTTTATCCGGAAAAAAACCCGGTCTGGGTTTAAAAAACTAGCCGTTAATATAGCCGTTGTGAGGGTTTTGTGACCGTTTTTTTCTTTAAAAAATTACCATTTTACCACGCTAAACATGTATAAATAGGTTGGGGATGTATTTGGTTGATTACAAATTTCTCAAATCTTATTACACAACACTTAAACATCTCAAATCTTACTTTTGTAATTTTTTGTTCATCTTGAGTAACACGGCTGAATCTTCCGTCGGGGAAACCTTGAAGTCGTGAGAGTGATCGAACACACTCGAAACAAAGACATTTGGGATCACTACGATTTATGTGAGATGTCAAATGGCTCGAGGAGGGCGCGTTGTAAACTTTGTCTAAAGTTTCTTGTATCGGAAGGAAACACAACGTTGAAGAACCATTTGACAAAATCATGCAAGACACTTCGCTCAAGATCAGATCCTAGTCAATCGAATCTTACACCGCAAGGTGGTTTTTGTTTACGACAACGAAAATTACGAGAAGCGTTTACAAGTTCGTGATTACAAAAGCATTGCCGTTCGACCACTTTGATGATGAAGATTTCACGATAACAATTCAACAACTAATGCAACCACGTTAAACTCAAGTAAGTCGTACTACCCTTAGAAGAGATGCTATAAAAATGTGGCGTACGGCGAGGGAAAAAATGATTTTAGGATTCCAAGAACACCGTTATGGTGTGTCGCTTACATGTGACGTTTGGAGTTTCCCTCATAATACCGGAAATTCTTTTTTAGCCGTTACGTCACATTGGTTAGATCAAGATAATTGGCAAATGATGAAAAGAACAATCGCGTTTGAATTATTCGGTGAGCCGCATACCGGTGCTAATTTATTTACACTTTTAAAAAGGTAATTTGTCTTTTAAATTATAAAATAAAGTTTTTTCTATATCCTTTGATAATGCATTGAATAATACAAACGCGGTTCCAAGATTGAAAATATTACTTTCACCGATTTTAGACGGTGCGTTTTTTCATACCCATTGCGTTGCACACATAATTAATTTATCCGTGCAAGCCGGTTTGGAGGTTATTGAGCCGATTAGATTAGAATTTAAAACAATGATAAAATCGGTTCTTTGTAACAACAACAAAAGACTAAATGATTATAAACGATTTTGTAAGTCCGTTAATAAAAAGCTTTGGGTCCTAATTTGGATTGTCCAACTCGTTGGAACTCAACTTGGATGATGATGCATACTGCCTTAAGGCAAAGGGAAACATTGCAAACATTTCACGATCGACTTTTCGAGAGGGGTCATATCCCAAACATTTATCCGGATTCGAGTTGGGAAACTATAGCCAAAATAACCGATTTGCTTGAGGTTTTTAAAAATGCAACAATTTTTTTATCCGGTGTTTATTACCCTACTAGCCCGTTGGTTCTTAATCAAATATTTTTGTTGGCTACCCGACTAAATGACTTTGAATTTGAAACCGAAGTTTTTCAAGAAATTGGCTTTGCAATGAAGGAAAAACTTTTAAAATATTTTAAGGAGATTCCCCCCATTTTTACTTGTACCGTCGCTTTAAACCCAACGTTAAATGTTGGTGGGGTTGAAACACTAATTGAACAAATTGCGTTTGCTTTTAATCTAACCGATGATGAACCCAACTTTGTCCAAAACCAAATAAATTATTTTAACAAATGTTTTCGAGATATGTTTGCAATTTATTTAACTAAATACGGATCAAGTAGTGTAATACACGATCAAATGAGAATGAATGCGGAATCATCTAGTAGACGTCCAAGTAACATAAATTTGAATCTTTTAACACTCTTGTAAATTCCCAATCCAAACGATCACGTACTACCACCCCAAGTAGCGAGTTGGGAAATTACATGTCATGCGATTTTCTATCAAAAATGACATTTGAAGAGTTTGAAAGTTTGGATATTTTGGCTTGGTGGAAAGAAAAGGAAGCACAATTCCGATTCTAGCCGCCATGGCCCGTGATTTACTAACCGTCCAAGCTTCTACGGTAGCTTCGGAATCCGCTTTCTGTTAGTGGCATGGTTATATCGCAACGGAGATCAAGACTAAGTCCCGAGTCGGTGGAAGTATGCATTTGTTTAAAGGATTATTTGGATGGAGCGGCTCGTAAGCAACATATCACCACCCTAGAAGATGCAATTGATACCGATTTGGAAGCAAACTTACACATTGAAGAAGTCGAACTTGGAATATCCCCTCCAAACGAAGAAGGCGAAGATGATGAAGAAGAGATGGCAATGTAGTTTATTTTAACTTTATTTTCAATTATCGTAAACTTTGTTTCAATTATCGAACTTGAAGTTTTAAGTATTTGAATTTATCGAAATTGGAAGTTTTTAAGTATTTGAATTTATCAAACTTGGAAGTATTTAAGTATTTCAATTATGTTGAGTTAATTAAGTATTTCAATTAAGTATTTGAATTTATCGAACTTGAGGTTTGATGCTTTCTCTTTGATTCTCTCTTGATTCTAGTTGCTTGATGTTTCTTGTCTTTGATCAATGGCTTCTAAGCTTGCTTAAATACACCTTGAATCACTTCTGAACGTTAGTGATAATTAATGAAGATAATATAGCCGTTTAAGTGTGAAAACATTTAATAAAAATGCTTGGAGCGTGGGGGAATCGGTACCCTCTCATAGGGAATCGATTTCCTCTCATAGGGAATCGGTTCCCTAAGTGTAAAATTCAAATATTTCGACCGTTGAATAGGGGGAATCGGTACCCCCTATGGGGGAATCGGTTCCCTCCGAGCATTCTGGAAATCTCAGAGCCAAACCATTCAGTGAGGAATCGGTACCCCCTTGGGGGGGAATCGATTCCCTATGAGCAATCTGGAATATTAAAATCGGTTTTTTTATAACCGGTTTTTTAAAAAAACCGGTTTTTTTTAAAACCGAAACCGGTTACACCGGTTAGGATATCTGGCCCTCCAAACCGGTTAAAAACCGAACCGGTTATTTTATAAACCGGTTTTTTTTCTATGAGAAAAAACCGGATCGGATAAAAACCGATCCGGATCGGATTGAAATCCGACAAATGTTCATCTCTACTCAAGGCACAACAAATTATAAATCGCATTTGCATGTGGGCTTTTATAGAGAACCATTCACACAGATAAACACTTCGGTTTGAGTGTGGGCTTGTGGGGTGATAGTTCTCGGTTTTTTCGGCCTAATACCCCGAGCGGGTCAATTATTCAGGGTATTGGGCCTCCGCAGCTTTTATTTTGAAAAATACGGCATTAGCTACCGTGCACAAGGAACTCCTCACCGCGACGATGAATTCTCTCGGATATTATTTTTTAATGGTACCGCGTAGTGGGTCTCACGTGCATCATTAGTTCATTGTGATTAAAATGACTCGTCACCTCGACGTGATGAGTCAATTAAAAATTATTTTTTTAAATTTCAAAATAAAAATAAAAATTATAAAATTTAAAAAAAAATTAGACCAAACTCGTTCAAAAAACTAATCGTTGGTTAATAGACAGACGGGAAACGGTCGAGAACGGAAACTTGGAACTCATCACCTCAAGGTGACGAGTTCGGCCGGATAAAATATAAAAAAATTAAAATTAAAAGAAAAATGAAATTATTTATATTTTAGAAAATACAAAGCAAATAAATAATTACAAAAAATATTTTTTTAACATAAAGACTACAAAGAAAAATTATCCATGTCTTCTAAGTTCATGATGATGCCAAGGAGTTGTCGAATAATAATGGCGCGAGGTCATAGAGTGCGTCGGGGTCGTAGGCCTTAATCGACGTCGTCGTGCTAAGTAGGTGTACTTAACGCACTCTAAGATCCACCTTAGAAATGCGATGATGGGCATATGGTACTTGACACCATCATCGTCGTAACTGATTCGATGTGGCTACTTTGTTGACCATATAGGATATGGTCTCACTCACCCGCAACCTTATGTTCTGTCGAATATGCTTAAGTGTATTGTGGTGCATCTCATGAACTTCCAACCCAATTCGGTCGAGTCTCAGCTGAAGTATGAAATGGAGGATATAAACCGAAACAGTATTGAGATGCGTAATAATATTCTTCAGCGGTAGATGCTGAAGCGGAAGACGACGACAACGATTATTTATTTGTGGACTTTCTTTATTTGTGGACTTGGACCTAGTGCATGTGGCCTGATGATGTTCCCATTCTCCTCTCTCTTTCGGTGTCGTCAGATATGGTTTCCTATTCGCTTCATAATTTCGGAGATAAGGAGAATAATCGAAATGTAGGTCTAGTGGTGTAATGTCGTGACTCAGGGGAGTGATTGTTCACGTTGATTCCATAGCTCGATGTAGAAAGCGTGTTTCACCGGCCAATTTTCGGTATATTTCATTCGTATATTGATTCTATGTAGCGCGTCCATATAAACCATCTGGGTATGAATTGGTTGGTGTGACGCAAACTGTTGCATCACTCTATCAGCGGCATGCCACTCAACAATCGCATAATGCAATAACGGTGTCAGAGCACACCATAAGTGGGATCCCTTAAAAAATCGCGCTGACAATAACTAGTTGATCTCCCCGTCAACATACGGAATCCAAGAAAATTGTAAATATTAAATATCAAAGTTAGTATATATAAAGTTAAAAAAAATATTGTTTGTCATACCGCATATCGATCGACGATATCGATCCTAATCCGT